CATGCGCCAGACAGAACAAGCAGGCGTCATTGACTAAGCCGATTGACAGCCATGCATTGTTCGATTGCTTTGACGTCCGTGCCTGGTCGGGTTGGGGCACCAATTCCCTACATCTGGTAACCCGGCATAAAACGTGTGCGCAACAAGGCGCCCGGAAACCTTGCAGCACGCGCGCCACATAGAGCACGAAAAGACAGAAAACGAATGACGGCATCTTGAGCCACAGAAAAAACTTCAGTCCACTCTGACTCACTCTCTGCGATTCCAAGTCGCGCTTGTTCCCGGCAACCGCGATCGCGATGTCCTGCGGCCCCTGTGCCTGCAGCTCGTTTATCCACTCTTTCAAGGTACGGAAGGAGTGCATCTTTGTGATATCGTACACCACGATAGCGGCGCCCGCCCCCCGGTAGTACATTGGGGCCAGACTGTGGTACTTCTCCTGCCCCGCGGTGTCCCAGATCTACGCAGCGTCGCGGAAGCCGTAGGTAGGGAGATGGGTGTGTGTGGGGGGGCGTACTCTTGTATTTTGCATGCCTGAGGTGTTAAGCCAGTGACCACGCATCCTCGAGAGGACGGAGCATTGTTTCCGCACCATAGGGCCGACCACTGACGGCCAACCGTTCCCGCCTACTTTGCCAAAGGAGGCTCAATTTTTTTCCCGGAGTCTATCAATAATATCGACATCACTTCCCGCCTTCTCAACCCCTATGTCCCTGTACAGTTACTGTCTTCTCCTGGCTGTTCCATGCCTCAAACATCTCCCTGTAGCTTCCTTCCTCTGCTTTTCCCGCTGGACAGGGGGGGGAGGACTTCCTCACCTGAAATTTCATCGGCGAGCCGTCCACCATGATCATCTTCGACATGAACGAAGCCCTGTTGGGGCCGGAGACGAAACGAAACGTGCACGAGAACGCGATGCGCTTGAAACTAAACAGCGCAGCGAGCAATAGCAGGGTGCACTTGTGTCTGTTTCTATAGCGGGTGCATACGCCCATGAGTCTGCGGATACGTCGGTCTTCTGAAGCGGGGTGGAATAGCGCACGGCTCACCATATCACGAAGCGGGATTGCCAACGCTGGTAACCTAGGAAGACAGTAGCAAACACGACGCCAACAACTACACGTGTAGACCCAGGGGGTCCGGGCCGAGAAGGGTCCCTGTGAAATTCCGTAGTCAAGAACTGTTAATTCCCTTCCGATATCACACAGAATACTTAGTTACCCAGGCTACAAATCCGTAGCCAACAACTGCCATACTAAGTCACCCACGGTTTATCAGCTGGTAAGACAACACTGCCATAAGCCATGCGCCAAAACATGCTAAAGTGAAAACATGCGCCAACATGATAAATGAACACGCCCCAAAGAGCAACATGTTTGTCTCACCCGATCGTGCTCTCGCTGTATGGCTTGAAGTTATTGGTAACGAACCTATGCACCAGGCTGGACTTCCCCACTCCTGTTCGCCCAATACGAGGCAGCATCCAAAGACATGCGCGGAAGGGACATGCACCGTGTTAGGCATCGTTGCCAAGAGAGGTTAATGTTGTCGTTGTTGTTGGACTAAAACCGTTCCGGCATACAGACGCATCAAACAGCATCCCAAACACAGCAACTTAAGGGCCTTCTTGCGATTTGCCCGGCACATTGTACACCTACACCGGTACAGCATTGTAGATCTCCCCCCTTCCCCCCCGGTATTTGCCATCGGGGTTGGGTTTTCGTCGCTTGGCAACGACGTTGAAAAATAAGCTAATTCACCTCGTGAACTCGGCAACCAGGTTACCGTTGTTTTTTTTTACCTCCGGTTTTNTTATGTCATACGCAGCTGTCATCCGTACGCAAGGATTTAAGCACAAGATGCCGACCACCCTTAGCAGGATGCAGCGCACCCTTCATNGCGGTAATCATAGTGGTGGTCGAGTAGATCATGTTGCGCGGGGTGGAGAACCCTCACTCCGCGCAAGGAGGGTGATCGCACCACGNGATGCCGACCACCCTTAGCAGGATGCAGCGCACCCTTCATGCGACTCGCCGAATACCTCACGGCGCTTCGCGTTCGGTGATGTGAGAGCCTGGTCCGGTGAGAACCCGGCGTGCTCCGTCCCGGCTTTGTAGGGATGCGAGGTCAATGGTCTAACGACTATGATTACACCCCCCCCCCTTCCGGTTATAACCACAATCCCCTTCATCAGAGGACCGTTGTTCGAGATCGAGCTGGGACAAAACTGGCACACTAAAACGAGATGGTAACCCGCAAACCAAGCGGAGGTTTTGACTTTCGAACAGCTTCTGTCGTGAGTACAAACACCTGCTGTCGGTAATCTTCCGCCCCTGTCGAGCAATGAGAAACTGGTCCATAGTAGCATAGTAGTCTCACAGACAAGTAGCAAATGCTCGGATGGGCATGAGAAATTAACCTCCGCAGCAAGAAAAACAAACAGCCGTAGATACCTGTACGCAAGGATTTGTGTGAAATTGAATCTGCACGGTATTCGCACCAAACGCGTCCTGTTTGGACAGGTTAGGTTGCGAGCCAAGATCGAAGTATGCAGACAATGAGCAGAGAACACCGGCCGGGCAAAGCCCCCTCAGAACAGCGGCTTGTTCAAGAACCGATTGCCCAATTGGATGTACTCGGCGGGGTTATGAAAGAATCTGGTTTCGTCGTCAGACGCGAGTTAGAAGTTGGTCAGCCTTGGTCTGTTTGATGCGGCGATGTCAGCCAAAGCCGTCAGTTTCTGGGTGATAACAAACAGGAAGGGCAGCCGCAGGGGCACTTTGGGCTGCCAAGCGGTTCCGAAAGCGGTTCCGAACCGAGGCTTCGTAACCCAAGCACGGTGGTGTGTGGTGTGAAAAGCATCGATCCTTGTGCTAAAATTTTGCCACAGCCTTAACCCAAGCTCTCAAAATAGCAACCGCGATGGTAGTCATTTTGTCAAGGGAAGGCCAGCTCCTTCGCCACGTAGGATATAATGCTACTTGCTGTGGCCAACCTCGCAGCCCTGTGTCAAGCACACGCGGCCCCATGATCACAGCAGTAGCGATGAGCAGAGGCAGGTTTGAACGCGGTCCAACATTTGCTGCTGTAGGCCAGGCATGTACCATACTTCGACAATATACCTGTGGTCAGTTGGACCGACACGGACGTTAGCAGTCACCAGAATTTGGTGACTTGTTTCAAATGTGGAGACGGCCTTGTGGAAATCGCTTCTCGAGAATCAAGCGTGCAAACCAACCGGTCTTTCCCGTTCTTTGACGCCAAGATTTGGTCGTCAGAGTGGCAGTGGCGGAACAAATCGCGACGAGACCTTTGTAGTATGCGGAGGTTGCAATGCTGAAACGCAAACAAACATCAGGCGCCTCTGTTTCTCTTAGGAAGGCTGCACACTTCAAACATGACATGGCTTCGATACAAAACAGATTTTGGGACGCCGACACCGGGACCTCCCCTTCAAAAGCTCTTCCAAAAGACCGGGCCGCATGCGCTGCTGCGCGTGCAAGCAGGAGGAGCTTCAGAACATGGCGTAAAATTACCAAGCAGTTGGCTGCTGTTTTTGGAAAATAGTCTATATACATGAACTCACAGAAAGACTGCCCGTTCGAGATACATAAAACCACAAGCAGTCTGTGATCAACAGGGTTGCGTCAGGTGGACATCTCCCTACTGTTGTAGCGGGAACTACAGCAGTACGGAGGAGTACACCACAAGTTGTACATGCGAAAAAATAATCTGTTTTGTCCCAAAACTCGCAGTGCCCGTTAGTTCTCACTACCATCATGCCACGAAAATTGGCATATTTCACCGCAACCACCCCTGCTGTTCCTCGGCGTATAGATGCATATGCATATCTAGAAGGCGGAACAAATGCTAGGCTTGATGCGCCTCGGACACTCACTGCTGTACGTAAGTTGTACAATAGGTGTCAAAGGAGACAGGCGCACATGGAGGTTTCAAGCTTCAAACCGTTCTTGTTTACACGCTGTGGTGAGATCATGAAGCACGCAGAAGCTGTGATGTGACACGTCATGATATGACGCGTGTCGTGCACGGCACCATTGTAAGAATTCATAGCGCAACATGAAAGCGGGCGACGGACCATGGTTGCCGCCGGAGGGGTTATACAAAGACTTGTACTGGGACCGTGTTTACGCAGGTGCACCAGCAGCAGCACCGGGAACGCCAATTCAGGAGGGGCTTACCGGTATCTCCTAGAAGCACCACCTTCACTTCTCGTGATCTCGAGTCCATGGATCCCCGTCGGCTCATCCTGCTGGAAGTCTCTCTCTCTCACTCGCTTGCTCTCGGTACCAATGGCGGAAGACTTTTTGGGTCCCTTGCTCTCCTTCCCGCCGCTGCTCCCGCCTGGAGAACCAAATAAAGGAGTGCTACAATTTTCGAAAACTGCGAATTCCTGAATGACCGCGCTGTCTGCCGAAGTCCCGAGAAACCTCTGTCTGTACAGCGGTGGCAGGAGCAGGGATATCACCAGGATGATCGTAGTCCTTTGCGTCAAAGGTGTTGCTGTCTCGTGCTGCGGTAGTGGTGCCGGCGGAGCCAAGTGCGGGGAGTCCGTGGAAAGGATTTCAGAAAGGAGGTTACCAGTATATGCCCAATAAGCATGCACGGAGCCTGACCCCCTCGCTTGCTTGGCAGTACTGCTGTGATTTGAGCTGCTCTCCACCCCACGCCGACAGCATACAACAGGAGAACAGATCGCAACACTAGTTTGCCACAGGTTACTCCTGTGCTGAGTTCCGCTTTCTTATGCAGCGGTGTGCCATATAGTAAAATATCTTGGCGTGTGCTGAAGCTCACGATCAACCGCGATTCTCCGGGAGCGAGAGAGGCAAAGGGAGCGAGCGAGCGGTGACAGAGGGATTTGGGTGCATCGAGTGCGGGCATTATGAACGCCCCATCCAATCCGACCATGTCTTCTTTGGCGGGGAATGCCTTTCAGTTACCACATGGCGAGAAGCAGCAACAGCAACAGCAGCAACACTTGGTGGAGTTCCAGGGCCGTACCCTTTGCGTCTCCACGCACACCGCCTTCAGCAACGGTGCAAACGGCAACAGCAGCAAGGCATCATCGGTGCTAGAGAGCGTCTTCGCCGCCCTCGGCGTGCCCAAGAGCGCCGTGGGAAGACTACAGGAGCCATGGCGCCTCATGTGCGGTGGGAGGTTCTTAACCCCCGACCAATACGTCCCTCCCCTGAGTGTGCTGAGGGTCTGGACGGGAGGGCTCAAGGGCGGGAAGGGAGGCTTCGGTGCGATGCTCCGCGCGATGGCCAAGCAGGTAAAAGACGTGCAGCACGGTCGGCGTTCGTGGCATGAGCCCGTTCCTTTGTTTGTATTGGCAGTGGTCGTGTGTGTGCGGGATATACGGGTTTTCGCGGCATAGTGTGGAGCTGTTGACGATGCCGTTCCGCCGTCGCTGCTATTATAAGTCCGGCACCAGCAGCAGCGTTGTAACCTGCGAAAGCGCCCTCGGTCGAAGGTACAGCAGTACTGTACGTGCCCACGACACAAACCCCCTGTGCTGTGGCAGCACTTGCACCAGCTCAGCAGCTAAGGCGAGGCTGCTGCATGGCAGCTCGAATGGAAACACGCTTCCGCCAACGTAGTCATCGTTTTCTATCTAGTGCGGTGCTCATTGCTTCACATTGACTTCCGTTCCCATCTGTGCTCAGTAGAGAATGTACCTTCTGGCATCCGTGCTGGGTCCCGCCTAAGGATGCCTATCATGGTTACGGGCCAATTACCCAACAAGGGTGGCATTGTGATCAAACCTAAAAGAGAAAGTAAAGCACCCAGAAAAACCACGCAGGTAGTCTAGATCATGTCCCGGCGTCGCACAGAGGTGGCATCGGTGGATCTGGTGATACATCGCCCGCGTTCTTGGTCGCACGAAACCCTCAACAAGTCGCCAACCTAGACCAGCCTCATGACCAACGCACACCCCGAACCGCCAAGAATGTGCTCAAAGCGAATCGCACAACTTAAGCTCCTGGCCTTGTTCTAAAAAACACGACTTGTTCTTGTACGCACAGGCGGGCGCCAAGCCCACGACCGACTTCGGGGCTTGCCGGGACCTGCAGGGCCGGCGCCTACGCCACGTTAACGACGAGGTTCGCCTTCAGAAGTGGCAGGAGAACAGGTGCGCTTCTCTTTCTGTTGTTTATGCCGCCATTACCGGCTCCCCTTTTCCTGTCGCCGAACAATACACGCGGAGGTGGGGGTGGAGGAACTGACCGGGTGAAGACATATATCCTACGCCAGGCTAAGGGGAGCGTGTTCATTGTTGGCATCGACCGCGCTAACCGGCCGGCCAATGGAACGACGCCAGGCTCAGTGCTGCTACGAACGAAAAAAACCTTCTCTACGGTATGCATGATTCGAATTAGCAACGACCGGCTGACCGATGAAAAGAGGTCGGTCTTGTAGTTCATCTCAACGTTCTCCTGTAGTCAAGCACCAAACCCCACCCGCTCCGTAGGAGGCACCATGTCGTGGTATGCAGTGGTAGTTTTTAGCAGGTGGTGTTGTGTTGAGATCGTGTCATTCCTCTCCCCCTGTCTCAACCTCCCGAACTGCTCCGCCAAACACAAAAAAGGGAGAGGGAGAGCCGGGGCGAGAAGGTGGAAGAGGAAAAGACGCAGTCGGGGATCGAAAACTGGCACCTCGGCGTGCCCACCTGGGCGGAGGGCGCCAAGCCTTCCTACATGAAGACCCGTCGGAAGACCGTTATCTGCCAGCAGTGGCTGGACGCTCGCAAGGACAGAAAGGCACCGCAGGGGGCCCCGCCGTGGTGGGGCTGCCCCAGGGGGAGGGGGTGCGACTTCGCCCACGGGAAGGTGGGTTAAGCAAGACCTGCGCGGGTTGAAATAGTTTCTGCGTGAAATACGAATTTTGTGCCGTCGATTGAAAATGTCGTCCGCCAGCGGGGTGCTGGACGTCGAAGGCCAGTTTCGTTTCCCTTAGATTTCCCGTTCACATAGCATTGTGGTGGTGTCGGAAGGGCGGACATCATCTTCTGTGAAGAGAAGGGAATGGAATGGATAGAGATAAGAACAGGGAGAGCAGATAAAAGTTTAGCGGAATCAGACAGCAGTCATGGACGGGTGCACGCTACACCTGTGGGTAGAACCCCACATAATTGCGGTGCACGCATAGTATTGGTGCCGTGGAGGACCCCGGTGCTGTATTGTGCATGTCGAAATCTCGGTTCACTGCTGTAACGAGTCGTTGGTAGGGCCATCCCGGGACCGATGGGGCGTTGTACGCATGGTGAAGCAGGGTGCAGGGAGACAATGCGCACTCGAAGCTATTTTGTCGCGACATTGATGCTCGTGTTTTGTCGCCGCTCATAGACTTTCATGTGCGATGGCAAGGGTTTCCTTGAGCAGTGGGCGTTATCCATATGTTGCACCCCAAAACCTTCTTTTGCTGCGCCTGTTTCGGATGTGACAGGAGGAGCTACGGGGGAAGGGCTTGGAAGAGTTCAACCAAAAGGACAGGAAAGAAAAGCGGGAGAAGAAGCAGTTCGACCTTGACAAGTGAGGCAATTGGGGGGGGTTGTCCGTCGGCTTGATAGTTCGTTAAGGAATACCTTGCTTTCCAACTCGCCCACTTTTCTACTCTCATCGATAGTGCAGGGCAGGGAATGGCAGGGGCGTGCTCGAACGTTACTTTGTTGCTGACTGATGATGGGTACTAGTGTACGGTATGGGTACTAGTATATGGTAGTTATGCACCCCTTCTTGACGGAATGTGGAGTCACGTTAAACAGTGTTCCAACAGCCGGTCGCCTTTATCTAGTGCTTTTATGGCGATTCCCGACGGGGATTCCGTAGCCGGATGTAGATGGGCGATGAAGGCAGAGACAGAGATGCACACCAACATAAGGGAAGCAGTACAAGGATGGTTGGCAGATCCACGCTGAAACAGTCGACCTGTACGTCGTGTGATTGGTAAAACGGAATCGGTGCCGTACCTACCCCCACGGCCGAGTCCGTCTGTCTTTGGAAGAACGACGCCCGTGACCTTGACGTGACACTGTTTCGCCCATCACTCCTGCTAGCTTAGCGTCTCCCTCTTGTGTTGTGACACCGGGACGATGTGTCGTTGTGGCTGGAGAGGGCTAGTCTCGCCGAGCGGGGGCACTGCAAATGATGCCTTGTTCATGCCTTTTACCCTTCCTTGACGAAAGATAGGGGATACACAATAACAAAGCTGTTGCTGCTGCTGCTGCTGCTGCTGTTGTTGCTGCTGCTGCCTTCTTCATTGTCCGTGACTCGCTTTATTTTCCCGAACACACCTGTTGGAAGGTACCTGGAGAGCTCGTCCGCGGAGCCGGTGACCCAAGCCATGCCCTCGGCCGTTGAGCAGGGGCTCAAGGCTGCCGCCCGGGCGGGCGCGAAGAAGGCGGCTGAGCACGCCGAGGATGCCAAGGGGCTTCTGAGCATGGACCTACAGGGAGGCCAGGTGCGATTTTCATGGAGGTGTCGGTATACCCGTAGCCCTTGTTGGCTAAGCACAGGGACGAAGCTGGTTTGCACGGAGCGGACGCGAGGGAGACGGTGGGGGCGGGGAGGGGCGGGGGAGTATCCGAGGCGTTGCGTCTTGTAGCGTCTGATGAAGCGTGGTGCGATCACCAGTTCAGGATCGGCACAACCTCTTTTTTCGCGTCAATGTTTTCTGTTGAACCACAAGAAACTCTACGACGTCGCTAAGTACATAGTCTGTATACATACATTCTGCATATGCTGCTTTGACAGGCTGCATGTTTCGTGATGACGTATCTGTGTCGTGTCGACCACGGCTCTCGTTTTTTGCTCGCACACCAGTTGACACACTTCTTTTTGCTGCGTTTCGCGTCGGTGGCGGTTTCACACGGGCGAGAAGAAGTCATCGTCCACGGGGTGTTCCTGGATGGAGGTGGCCGGTGGCGACGTCGAGCTGACAGAGGAGGGACAGGCGCAAGGGGCCAGCGAGTTCGGGACGGCTAGGGTAGTGGGAGTGGCGCTTAGAAAGAAGACCTGGTATTTCGAGGTGCGCTTTCTTCCCTCTTGTGTTTGCTTTGTTATCTTTGTTTTCTCGGGGGGGGGGGGGG